AGATGGAGGAGGACTTTGTGGATTGGTGTTGGACATACGGGTTAATGGGTTAATGTTGGACTTGTGGGCTTGGGCAGCACTGGGTTGGGATATTTTCTTGATGTGCACTTAACCTTTATAGAAAACTCTCTCTTAAACTTACCTGGCAGGGGAGATACCATGATCATGAAGGTGGTTTTCCCAGGGAGAGGCTCACCCATTGCACTCCAGATGTGTTGACCCCTGCGATTTCCCCAAATGTGGGAAACTCGACTGCATAATTCATGGTAGTGGGGCCTGCATTCGCACTCTCCCCTGAAGAACAAAAACAAAAAACTCTCTCTTATACATGAATTTCTATGGATTTGTTTCTCTAATGTACCTAGACTAACACAGTCTAATGCATTTATTCTCCGCACCTACCTGCCCCTCGATCACATTTCTTAGTTTACTTATTTCTGATTTTTTTTAAAAAAACCTTTCTACAACCCGGTTTCCCAGAAGGTAGGCTGTGCTAGAGTGAATCTCTTCTAACTCTATCTGGCTACAGGCGTCAAAAGGAATGGGCTAGGAGGGAGGGACCAAAGAGGTGCTGATACCAAGGACTCAATAGAAAGCAAATGTCTAGAAAAGAATGATGACAACATATGCACAACTATGCTCGATACAATTGATGTATGGACTGTTAGAAGAGCTGTAACATGATCTTTTAATAAAAAAGAAGAATGGGCTGAAAATGGTTAGTAGCTAAAGGCAAATCCCCTTCTGTCCAATCCCAGGCCCACGAGCAGGGTAATCCCCCTCAAAACTGAACCCACCTACAAGGAGAGCGGGATTCTAATTTCCTTGCATCCTCGTCAATAATTTTTATTTTGTTGTGTTTTTCTCTTAGCCATCCACTTAAAACTGATCTTTGAGAACAGGCTTCTGTTTCTCTTTCGGCCACAGGAGTAGCCACGTGTCTTGTGTCTTTCCCTAACACACAAGGAAGGCGACCCAATTCAGAAGAAACCAGTCGGAAAACCAGGAACCAAGCCGGTTACTGCTGCCGTGCAGTGAGTTTCTCACGGCAGCCCCATGTGTACAGGGAGGGGCTGCTCCAGAGGCTTTTCTTGACTGA